GAAAATACATGAAATATCATAAAAGTCTCTGTTTGCAATCTAGAACAAACTGAGATATTAAAGAAATCACATTTGTAATTTCCTGGTAATGATATATATTATGCAACTGACTGATTACCATATCATGTCCAAAAAAAACAACAACATGGTAGTATTTTTGTTATGATTGAATGCATTTTTAAGGATGCTTTTGTTTAGAAGTGCAGGGTATAAAACAACGCATTACTTGTGTTGCTGTGAGACGGTGCAACTTAAAACAGACTCTCCTAGTAAATATAAGCATCGGATCATTTATTGTATTGGTTGCTTGCTGAAATAAAGCAATGTGAATACATCTAGCAATATAATTTAGCCAATATAAGGCTAAATTATTTTTATGCATAATATCAAATAGAAAACAACCATGTTATTTGAACAAACACTATGGTTGAAAATTACTTTGTAGCGTGACACAGCAGTGTGGTTTTGCCTCGATTCCAGGCAGTGGAAATGCCCAGTGCTCAGAGCAGTGTGAGTGTGTTTGCTCTCTCCGTGTCTTGGCTGTGAAATACACAGATAAAATGTGGTTTTCTGGCTTACATCTCATGGGAGCATATTCACTCACCTGCTTGAGAGAAACCCGGCGAAAAACATCGACCTTGATAGGGCATCAGCGTCACAGACAGCAGCGGCTATCTTGGTAAATCTGAGCACAGTTTGAGACATTGTTGGGGTCTTTTGCTCAAAAGAATAAATGGACTTGCATAAAAATGAATGAAATTTGCTCATAAAAGTCTGTTTGCTTTCCAATGAATCTTGTTTCCATCTATGAGAACAAACTGAAATATAATATTAATATATATATATATATATATATATATATAGGGGGGTGGGATGCGTCCTGGCTTACATCTCATGGGAGCATATTCACTCACCTGCTTGAGAGAAACCCGGCGAAAAACATCGACCTTGATAGGGCATCAGCGTCACAGACAGCAGCGTGGCGAGCCAACCGTTTGACTTCTTGTTTCTGAGTGTATGCGGGTGTTCGTGGGAAGATTAGATTCATTCCTAAAGGAAACATTAACTGCATATGGTTAGTTTCAGCAGCGCCTCATGCCAGCAAGGTTTATATAACAGAGTGTTTTTATGTGCAGTTGCATTTATCAAATACCTGCGCTTGATGCTTACAATTTTCTCAAGGAGCATGTATTGAAATAAGTTGAAAAATGTAGAAGCGCATTAAAAACTACAATGAAAATTGACCAAATAATGTGTTTTTCCTTAAAAAGGAAATACAAAGAGACATTTCTAAGCAAAATTATTTAATTTATTAGAATACAAAAAGTACACTAGGTTTTTTAAATGGAAGATATTTTAGAGAATGTTGGTTACCAAACAGTTGACGGTACCCATTGACTTTCATAGTATTGAAAAAATATCATGGAAGTCAATGGCTACCGGAAAATGTTTGGTTACCAACATTCTTCAGCATATCTTCCTTTGTGTTCAACAGCCGAAAGAAACTTATACAGACTTGGAACAACATGTGGGTGAGTAAATGATGACAGAATTTTTATTTTTGAGTGACCTATCCCTTTAAAGACTCTCTGGCACATGCTCCTCAATACATTTTACAGTACGCATCTATTTATAGTCGCAAATTTGAGTGAAATGTTCGCACTGTTGAGCCATAAATACAGTTCCACAGATATTTCCAGAGCGTTTCTCTGTAATTTAGCCTGGATCTTAGTTGCTCGGTAAAAAATTTAAACACTTTGAGCTGCTGTTGCACTAGGGTCTCGCGGAAATGAATAGCTTTTGTGGCGGCCCGACGGTCTGGCCATTATGATGGTGATAAGTACACGAGTTCCCAGTCCACTGTGACCGATGGAGACCACAATAAACCGTTTTACAGCAATAGCCAAGTTAAAGTTACAATTGCAGCATTTTGTCAAAGAAAAGGTTAAAGATGTCAGCTGGAGAAATATGCAGAAGGTTAGTCGGCCAAGATAGTCCACTAATGGATGAAGACATGCCGAAACACTCTGTTACACAAATTTACAGTTAATAAACATGTCCCAGCTGCTGTAATGACACACACATATATGAAGCAAGATTGTATAAGTCAGCCGTGCATAATGCAGTTTTAACGATGACAAATAATGGTTTTATTTTAGACGTTTCAGAGGGAAAATCGTGGGGTTGTGAAATTAAATGTGTGAAATAAAGCTCAGCATGTAGAAACGTGCACAGAACGGCCATGGATGAATTAGCCTCAGGATGGGAGATCACATTGCATTATGTTCTGTTGAAATAAACCCCTGCAAACTCCAAGACTGAGTTAACGCAGTAGGCAGTTTACAAAACATATGTCTTGTTACTTTTTTTGGAGCTTATCCACAGCTACTAAACCAAATGCTTTCACATATAATAGTTTAATGCTTTTGCTATTCCTGCAGATAATGCTCTTAAACTAGCAAACTGTCTCGGAGCTGAATAGTGGAAGCAATCATGTACTAACATTATGAATCTAAAGGCTAGTCGTGTTGTTGGAAGCCTGGCGTTTCAATTTGACTGTATTGACTGTGTGCTTTGTGTCTCAGAATCTCTCTTTCAGGGAACGAGGGAGAAAAAGACGAGGCTCACAATGGAAGAGATGTAAATTGCTTTAGATTGTTTTGCTCTCAATGTTGGCCACTAAACGCAATAACCAGAATTCAATATTTCTTTTCAAAGTCCTGAAGAAAAGATAAAACCATTACAATTGGGGGATTGATGCGTTCTCTAGACAGCAGCAATGCATTACTAACCAAGTATTTTCGGATTTGGTAGTTTTCAAATAAAGAGGTCAAAATATCTCAATGAGCTGCTGTTTTGAACTGTTTTAAACATTGAAAATGTTCAGCATTCACTGGTTTTTCATGACGTATTTGTATGTTGGTAATTATTTGTTTAATATATGTGACCCTGGACCACAAAACCAGTCTTAAGTCGCTGGGGTATATTTGTAGCAATAGCCAAAAATACATTGTATGGGTCAAAATTATCGATTTTTCTTTTATGCCAAAAATCATTAGGATATTAAGTAAAGATCATGTTCCATGAAGGTATTTTGTAAATTTCCTACTGTAAATATATTAAAACTTAATTTTTGATTAATAATATGCATTGCTAAGAACTTAATTTGGACAACTTTAAAAGCGATTTTCTCAATATTTCGATTTTTTTGCACCCTCAGATTCCAGATTTTCAAATAGTTGTATCTCGGCCAAATATTGTCCTATCCTAACAAACCATACATCAATGGAAAGCTTATTTATTCAGCTTTGATAACATATGCATATGATGTATAAATCTCAATGTTGAAAAATGTACCCTTATGACTGGTTTTGTGGTCCAGGGTCACATATTAATATTGTATAGTGCTGGTCGGTTTGACCAAAAATATGTATCACGTTTTTGTTTTTTTTTTAGGATTTTGGAGGTTTCATGGTTTATCACGTTTTTTTCCCTGACTGTGCCTTTATATAAATCAGCATGTATGAAATTTAATCACGATCCAAACAAACATTCTACATGTAGCATGAGTATTTTTTTATTTAAATTAGATTGTATAATTTTAAAATTTAAAGCAAAAAAAGAATGGTCTGACCTTAGCTTTGTGAAAATATGCTACATAAAACATCTGCACAAAACAAAAACAGCAGATGGGCTGAATGAGACGCAGATTCACTCTCTGACAGCAGGTGGCGCTAATGGAACAGCAGCAATACATCGTTTCCTGGTTACCACTGTAAACAAAGCAGTGCTACGTTTTTAATGTAATATAAAACAGTACTAAAAGCAATTGGTGTTGATACACTCTAAAAAATGCTGGGTTAAATATAACCCAGCGCTGGGTTAAAAAAGGACAAACCCAGCTATTGAGTTGTTTTAACCCAGCATTTTTAGAGTGTACTGATATTAATATTTTGTTTATATTAATCAACTGATATTATATTTATATTAATATCAGTCAATCAATTTATGAATATATTACCACATTTACAAATGCATTCATATTAATTAATGAAGTATTACACTCTAAAAATGCTGGGTTAAATACAACCCAGTGCTGGGTCGAATATGGACAAACCCAGCAATTGGGTTGTTTTGACCCAGCAGTTTGGTTAAATGTTTAACCCAACTTTCTGGGTAGTAACCCAACCGCTGGGTCAAAACAACCCAATTGCTGGGTTTGTCCATATTCGACCCAGCACTGGGTTGTATTTAACCCAGCATTTTTTAGAGTGTAATATTAAATAGTCAATGCTGGTTGTGCCAATTTGATTAAATGCAAGGCCTTTAAAAAGAACAAAAAAATTTGAAAAAGAAAGGCATTTTCTTCTCCATTTAAATGAAATAGTTCACCTAAAAAATGAAACTTTCACCATAATTTATTGCCCGTCATGTCTTTTGAAACCATTTCAATAGCTTTCTTCCATGTAGCACAAAAGGAGTTATGCATAGCAGAATTTCCGAGTTGCTCTTTACTATACAAAGAAAGTGAATAGTGACCACTGTGGTTATTCTAATTTGTGTGTTTTCTATTGCTTTAAAAGGATAAAAAAATGTATCCTAACTTTGCAAGATTATAAGGTTAATTGAATTTATTTGCATTTTCTACCATTTGAAACAAGAACAACGCAACTACATTCGGAAAACAGCTGAAAAACAGCTCACGCTGAATGAAACAGAATGCCGGGGTATTGATTATTTTCTGTTTTTAACTTGACACAGCATTTTAAAAGCGCAATGCTCATGGTGGGACATTTAAAAAAATGACACTCTGTAGCAGCAGGAGATGAAATTAAAGAAACGACTTTTTAGAGAAGCTTTTACCACGCAAACTGTTTTAACGGTGACTTAACGGTGACCAAACTTTAACAAGTTTGGATGCTAAAAAGAGCAAAAATATCCACTGAATTGACCTTGCTAATCAAATCATTCTACCTTACTAATTTCTTGCTTTACTCCAGCAGCTGTAGGACTCTGGCTGGGCCTGAGGGCCAAAACCTTGTACTGGAATAAAGAAAGGAAGAAAAGAAAAACATCAGCCCTTAACCAGCATCTGCAAAGACTCCCCTGCCTCCTTCCCCATGGCTTGACCTCCATGCTGTGCTGTGCTGAAGATCTTTCCCTGGAGGTAAGCCAAAAATACCCAAGCCTCTAGCTGGAGCTTGACAAATCGACTCATTTGCTGAGTAGGTGATCTTAAAGGAATAGTTCATCGAAAAAACGAACGTTCTGTCATTTACTCACCCTTGTGTCATTCCAAACCGGCATGACTTTGGTTCTTCCCAGGTTTGAGTGCTACGGTTGCTAGTTTATGGGATTTTTATTGTGCTTTTTTGTCCTTATTGAAGCTTGACAGCCACTATAACCATTCGTTGGGTGGAAAAGAGCAGTGTCAGCATGGTGTTTCACAGACAAACTCATACGGATTTTAATTTTTGAGTAAACTGTTCCTTTAAGAACATCTTAGCCAAATTAAATTTGCTGTCATGTTTTTAGAAAGCATATTAGACTCTATTTCTTGTACTACTGAGAGGAATGCTGTGTTTCACTCTGTACATTGCAATGCAGAAAACGTAATTCTTAGTGACATCTCCCAGAAGGCCCAAGGAATTGTTGTGAGACGCCCAACCGATGAGGTGCCTGTATTAAAATAATGTTGCAGATGAAAAAAAAACCATACTGCACTGGCCTGTTAACATGCAAATCACATCTCATTTTCACAGAACGGCAAAGCGAGTGAGTCAGTGTGAAACTGTATGAGCTGAATGCCAGGCATGTTACTGAGAGAAAGCAAAGCATAGAAACAACACATTGTAAATTATGTAGTCACGGTGAAGAACACCCAACAACATTTCTATTTTTGGTCGCAAGCCACAGCAAATGCGATTTAATGAGCTCTGAATGTATAAGAATGACCTTGATATTGATTTTTAGCTGTGTTGCACATGGTGTTGTTTTTAATAAACCAGTACTGTAACAATAATACACGGTAATAATTTTATAAAATACAAAGTGTTCGTGTTTGAAGGCATATCTCATGATGCTGGGTTATAGAAAAAAATATATAAGATTATATCTTGCATTAACAAAACCAAACCTGTTATTTGTACAAGTTTTGTTACTTTATTTTAATCACAGTTAAGCATAGGCTCCCATTCTTATTATTGCTTATTTTGATTTTTAAAATAATTGAAATAATTTGCTTTGTCAGAGTAATACGGATATAAGAAGAATCATCATGAAAAATAATAAGAATTGCAAAATAAATTAATTTAAAAGTCGGAATGCGTTGTGATAATGAGAATTTATGTGCTTCATAATGTCACAATGCAAAATATCCAATTTTTTTTGGGGTGAATATGATTTAAACGTGTTTTGTGACATTGTTATGAATGCTAAATGTTTTTTATTTGTGTAATTTTTAAAACAAACGTTCTGTGTTTAATTTAATGTTATATTGTGTCTTTTATTATTGTTTGTGATATAATTTTTTATATATCGGTTTCTATTGCCAAAAAGTGCCTTAGGCCACTATGAAAGGAGATTTGAGCTTAATAAAAATGTAATAGAATAAAAAAAAAAAAAAAAGTTCTACATTCTAAAAAATCTATTCTTAAAAAACGTAAAATGATTGAAATCATCATTAAAAGTATTACGAATGGCAAAATAAATGAAATTAAAATGTCTGAATGCATTACGGTAATGTGAATTTAGGGAGACATGAGCTTCATAACGTCACAAAGCAAAATATCCTACAATTTTTTAGGTGAAAAATGACTTAAACATGCTTTGTGACATTGTTATTGCTTTATTAAGGTGCTAAAAGTTTCATATTTGTGCAGAAACTAGTTTTCTCTGTAAGCATAATGTTTTATCTTACACTGTGTCTTTTATCATTGTTTGTGACATGTTATGTTGGTTTATTAAATTGTATAGCCAAAAAGTGTCTTAGGCCACTAGGAGAGCTTTATCGAATCAATAAAACATAATGAATATTTTAAAAATGTTCTACATTATAATAAACTATTGAGCGTCCTTCTGCACATTCCTCTGCCGCGTTTTTGATACATGACAATGAGAGTGATTTCATTAGCCACACGTTAAACTTATTGGCTTTTCTCGGTCCGTATGAAGGAAGCTGCAGATGGCACGTGAGTGGAAAGACCTGTAGACCTCATAGAGATGTTTATTAGGGAACACTCGTTCTTGCCACGGCAATGAATTATTCATAAAGCCGCTGTCTGAAGGCCTTGTGTATTCTGCCAGGACTTTCTTAGCTGGAATCGATCCGTGGTGGAAATTCTGAGCGATCCGCGACGTCTCCTCCAGCTCAGAGGTTTTAAAGGGGCATGTAGCTCATTTTGACAGATGGCACTCAAGAGCTACTCACCATCGCTGCTTTGGACACACATATCCTCTCCGTTATGAGCCTCAGATTGCTATTTCCTCTTAAGTGCACTCCATGTGAGGACAAGGTTCATTACTGAGACGGCTTTTTGTCAATTTTTGGTATATAATGGTGAATTTGGAAGCCAAGGGCTCGCCAATATATCTCGCTTATGAAGGTATCTTATGGCACATGCCACTTATGGAGAAATGTTCCAACATTTTACCATTCAAGCACTCTTAGAGCAAAAGCATGCTGATTAAAGTGGGGGAAAATAGCCGGGCTGTCCTTGCGTTTGGAATACAGACAAAATATGGTGAAAACTATGGAAGCTTGTTTCCGCTATGAGATAAAAAAAAAATAAACTGAAAAAGGTAATTGCGACTTTTTATCTCACAGTTTAGACTTTTCTTTTTCTCACAATTCTGAGTTTATATCTCACAGTTCTGACTTTTTCCCTCACAATTCTGAGATATAAACTCTGAATTGTGAGATATAAATTCAGAATTCTGAGAAAAAAAAGTCGAAATTCCAAGGCATAATTCAGAATTCCCAGATGAGAAAAAAAGTCAGAATTGTGAGATTTAAACTAAGAATTGTGAGATATAGACTCGCCACTAAGCTCTACAGATGGTGGCGCCATCTAAAAGTCACGATTACCAGTTTTTATTTTGAATTCTATGGGAGAAACTAAAAAACCCTTAGAATTCTGAGAAAATAAGACAGAATTGTGAAATATAAACTGCAAGAATTGCAAGACATAAACTTGGAACTGTAAGGAAAAATTCAGAGATAAAAAGTCAGAATGGTAAAACATAAACTCAGAATTCCAAGAAAAAACATCAGAACTGTAAAATAAAAAAGTCGCGATTACTTTTTAACTTTTTATTCTGTGACGGAAACAAAAAAAATAGAATTCTGAGATTTAAGAAATTCTAATTCAGAATAGGGCTGTCAAAATGACTGAAAAACTAAATTCGAATTTTCTACTTAAATATTATCAAAATTCGAATTATATTCTAATTTAAAAGGCATAATTTCAGTTAGGGGAAAAAAAGCTTTTGGCTTCTCTCCTGAGGCCACAAGAGGGCACATCGCGCAAAATATTATGCACGTTTCTTCAAAGCGTATTAAAATAACACGACTATCTTTGAAAAAAAAGTGCATAATGTTTAAAATAATGTTTATAAACCATATATAATTAATAAAGTTGCTTAAACAATTAGAAAAAAAACAGCACCATGCATGTATGTATAGTTTAATACAAAGGACCGAAAACCAATCACAAAGAGTAGGCTACTTTCTTCATTTAAAAACATGAGATACAGTGGGATGGGGAAAACCACCATAAAGTCTTGAGACGTGTTTTTTAAAAGTTGAACTTGCATTAATTTTACATGGCTTTCTAAACATGCCGCTCTCTTGTGCCAGACGCGAGTGCAACGCTGATAGATGTCCCTCTAGAAAATGTGATAAATATGCGTTCTGTGTGAATGGCTTGATTTCAGTTTTAACGTAAACAACATCTTCTCCACACTGATGCTCTTGTTTTCCGCAATATACTGAATGAACAACGTAGCAGCGCCGCATCTAGTGGGTTCAACTGGATAGGCTAACAAAAGCATTAAAATGCAATGACACTTACATCGTCGTCGCATTTCGTGTGCCACTGATAGGCTGCCTGACGGCTGACGCAGACCTAAAATTCAATGTGGAATTTTTTTTAAATTCGACGAATATTCGAAATTCAAATTTTTTTTTGATAGCCCTAATTCAGAATTGTGCAATTTAACTTGCAATTCTGATTAGAAAAGTCAGAATTATGAAATATAAACTTGCAATTGCAAGAAAAAAAATTCAGATTTGTGCGATGAAAAGTCAATTACCTTTTTTATTTTTCATTCTGTGGCAGAAACAAACAAAAAAGTGAGATATAAACTTGCAGTTCTGACAAGAAAAGTCGGAATTGCGAGATAAAAAGTCGCAATTACAGTTTAATTATTTTATCCCATAGCAGAAACAAGCTTCCACAAAAAAAAAAAAAAACGGGCAGATAGAGCTGTAATCTCTCCACATTTGCCCCGCTGAGTGGTTTCAGACTGTGCGAATTATGCGATTGTTCTGATTAAATGTGCTCCACTGGTCGTGATTTTAATTTGTGCTACTCTGGGAGATGAAATAGCAGAAGTGATTCCTCTGTGAAACAATCTTCAGGACGGTTTTAATCCTAGTGCTCACTAGTACTTCTAGTACACAAGCGGCATTTTAATGCTAAACGACAACAGCGCTGTGGTCAGCTACTGCTGTGTGATTCTTTTCACAATGTGAATTATTAAGACGTTTATAAAGCAGCACTGGAAAACACAGCAGGAAATGCCTCCAGTGATTTATTCATCCTGTACAAATAAGTATCATTGTGTACCAGAAAATTTGTTGCTGGGTGAATCTCACAAACAGCATGTCTGAGTCATATTTCATCCCAAATCAAATGAAATATAGTGCATTTTTATGATAAAATGTGATTTAGATATGTTTTTGCAAGATTTGTCCATCTGTGTCCATCATTATGACTATCATAGTCATTGAATAGAAGCCACCGGATCGTTATCATGATTCAATAATTATGCTAATGATGCTTCACTGTGGTTTGGCATTCACATCTTAATAACGAAGATATTATTATCACTTGTTGGTTTAATAACATTAACACCAGACCTGACCATAGGGTTTGTTTGAATGCCATATTCTTATTGCACAATGAAGCATTCAAGCAGACCATGTACAGCAAACTAGAAATTGCAGTACATGTTCAGAGACCATCCCAAACAGGCTGATATATTGTTTGACAATAACTCTCATTTAATTATTTAGTAGGCCTCCGAGCAACTTGAAATGCCACATTTGCATTCGTATTCAGAAGTGGTTATTGCTTTCCGGTTGGTTAATCTCTTCTGCCATCCACATGTTAGCAAAATAAAAATTTAACACTTTTAGGCGTTTTAGAAAAAGCTTTTTACACCGAATATCAAAGCGCGTCCTCTTTGGCTTTGCACGTCCAGATGCTGTTGTTATTTGTCAAAACAAATTTGTTGTGAAGAGTTTTGATTAAATTTGTGCACATCCAAGCGTGCTTTCATGCAAGGCAAAGTTGTGTATTTCTCCAGCAACTGCACGAACTAAGCAATGATTAATTTCGAATGCATTTTCATTAATCTATAATGAATTTTTCTTTGCTTTGCAACATATGCAACTTTCATTGCAAACACCATTTATCATTGCAGGTCAATAACATTTAGCTTTTGCTAATGCAACGTGTTCTAATTACATGGTGATTGGTTTTCTTTTTCATGTTTTTTCCTCTCTAAGGGCTGTTTCTCTGACCTTAGCACATGGATTTCAAGACTTCAAATGAAGAGGTAAGTATTGCTGTTGAAACATTTTGTTATTTTAGATAAAGTAGTGTTCGCATACAACTTGTAACAGATCTATTTCAGCGTTATTTGCTGAACAAAACTCTATCCAAATAAATGCTCGCTGTAGTCGTGGAGGGAGGCAGGAGCACATCGATCAAATAAATGGATTTGTTGACTTTCCACTGGGGAACAAAAATGTTAGGTCAAAACCGATTGCTTTAATTCCCCTGTCTGCAGACTAGCAAACAGTTATTTAACAGACAACAGATTTACAGTTTCATTCTCTGTAATACTTAAAATTTTCTGATGACAATAAGGACTTAATGTAAGGATTATAAAGAGGATTACAATCTATTATAGAAAGTAAAAAGCCATAAAAATCTAACTATAAATAATTAAAATATGTAATGGTATGGATTAATGATTGTCTAAATAATCAATCATAAATGTTTTTTTGCCATCAGTATGCTAAATCATATTTTATGTGTAATGTATATATTTATTAGACGGCTCTTGGTCAGCAGCACCTTCCAGTGTCAAGTCAAGTCAAATCACCTTTATTTATATAGCGCTTTTAACAATACTGATTGTGTCAAAGCAACTGTACAGCATTAATTAGGAAAATAGTGTGTCAATAATGCAAAGTGACAATAGTAAACACTCATTTTTCAGTTAAAGGCAGTTCATCATTGAATTCAGTGATGTCATCATCCAGCTCAGTTCAGTTAAGTCAAGTCAGAGGACTCAACTGGTTCCTGTGGTCTTGTCCCGGTGGCCGTCTGAGACAAGGTCTTTACTGGGGATCTGTATCTGGGGCTCATCTAGTTGTCCTGGGCTCTGCTGACTTTCAGAGCTGTGGTCGGATATTTCCTTGCCGAAAGCTGTATATTAGTTGCTTTTCTGGGTAACAGAATTGATGAATTGATGCAATGATGTTCAGTTGTTTGTTATTATTATTGTTAATATTAATAGTTTATAAAGTGAAATAAATGATATCTCATTAGTTTTATAATGCACTGTATAATAAGCAATTACAAACGCATTTTAAACTAATTTGTGTGTCCTAATTAGTATGACTATTAAAAGAATAGTTCAGCCAAACATGAAAATTTGTTGAAAATGTATTAACCTCAGGTCATCCACGATGTAGATGAGTTTGTTTTTTCATCAGATTTGGAAAAATGTAGCATTGCATCACTTGCTCACCAATGGATCCTCTGCAGTGAATGGGCGCCGTCAGAATGAGAGTCCAAACAGCTTGATAAAAACATCACAATAATCTACACCACTCCAGTCCATCAGTTAGCGTCTTGTGAAGTGAAAAGCTGTGTGTTTGTAAGAAACAAATCCATCAAGACATTTTTAACTTTAAACTATTGCTTCTGGCCAAAATGCCAGTCCATAATCCATAATGACCCTTCCTCCAGTGAAAAAGTCTGTCCCCTGCTGTTCTCTAACATCGAAATCCACCCACATATTTGTTTAGAACTGTTTTGGACTGTCTTTGCTTGTAAACAGTGCTTGATCTGTGCATATTTCTCTCCTGATTCAGACAGCTTTTTTACTGGAGAAAGCAATATTATGAAGGACTTTTATTTTAGCTGGAAGCAACAGTTTGAAGTAAAAAAAAAAAACATCATAATGATGGATTTGTTTATTACAACTCGCAGCTTCTCGCTTCATAAACCCTGAGGGGGAAAATCTTCAGCAAATTTTCATTTTTGGGTGAACTTTTCCTGATTTCAAGAACCCGATTGCTCTCAACACCCCAAACTTACGCTCTCATTTTTAGAAACGCAGCTATAGTGAAATCTTGCATCTCTGTTATGGATTACAGTGAAAATTACCACAAATTAATTTTTTGTTTCTAGGCTGATTGTTTTGCACAATGTAATGCAGTAGTTTTTCTTGGCGAACGCTTTAATATCATATAAATGCAAGATTAGTAAATAATATCAACTCGAATCAATATTTAAGTCCAAGCGTTTATTCATTTAGTGGTCTTGATCACCCTGTCAGGATTTATTTTGCAATAATGACCGGCTGATTTTACTTTATATGCTATATATATCAGCGTCTATCGGCTACTGAGAAATATTGATCGTCCACTAATCTGGATGTTCTTCTCAATTCGTTAAAATGCAAGACATTCGATGGCTCCTGCATTATATTAATGCAGTTTGGAATGGGATACAAGGCTACTATGAATGCAGAGAGCACAAATTTAATAGCTTTTGGACACAGAAGAGCGCTTATGTGTGGAAGATTAATGAGCGCTCAGAGGAGGATAAGTCTTGTGTATATAGATAGAAGTATTTCTGTTTATTTACAAACACTGCTGTGCTTTTTAAACATGATGTGCAAGGCAAGATTCAACATGTTGTGGTCAGAAAAAAATTGCTTTTTTTACATAACATTTTTGATTACACTTGTTACGGAATCTGGTAGGGAGTTTTTCAGAGCCTGTGGGTGTTTTGACTTTGCTGAAGCATCAATATGAGAATCATATTGGCTGTGCTTCTTCTTAATTGTGTGAATTATGCAGTCCTCCTGGACTAAATTAAGCGTTAGCGTTAGTTCTGGCAGGTCACATGAGTCAAGCTTGCATCAGCTGATTCTCAGCTGATCACATCTACCTATAGGAATACGACACCTATCGCGGCACTCCTATATAAGCTCTATTCAGTATTATTCAGCAGATTTTCAGCTTACTCCGGAGCAAATTACCCTCCTCCATCCCCAGCTTCTCCTTTCGCCACAGTCAGGACTTGGCTTTCTGATATTCCTTGCTAATCAGACTCCTTTATCTTGAATAAAGTGTTACACTTAAATATCATTAAGTACATTAATGATATCTGCCTTGTTCTGTTCTGTTAACCCTAGGGGGTTATTATTGCTGCTCTCCCTGCTCATTCATGACTGGCTGCATGGATGGGCAGGGAGGTTTTTGCCCAGAACAGAACCATACCGCCAAACCAAACTTTATGCTAAGTATCTATCATTTTGACGATAGTGGTCCTGACAGAACTACAGTAATTTCAATTCTGGAATGGCCATAGTCTATGTCTGAGCATGTTTTGACTGAAAATCTCAAGGGTACACTAAAAATGGCTGACACTTGGTTGCTGTGGCAACAGAATCAAGCATGTGTCCTAGCAACTGAAGTTATGGAATAAATTTCATTCTGGTGTAAAGTATTTGACTGACTTTGCAAGAAAGCGCAATGATGCAGATGCCAGACTCAACAGAAAATCCAGGCCTCTTTCCTATTTTATGAGCAACTGCTTACCAACCAATTTGATCATCATAGGAATGAGTCTTACAACACAACTGGGCCCTGAGGAATTTATTTTATTTAGTTTTTTACTGTGCTGACAAGTGGAAAGGCCAAAATATACACAGAGTCCGTTTTATGCAACATTTCAAAGCGGAAAAAGCTTTAATGAAATAATAATGAAAGCACCATGATGTTGGCAAAAATATTACAATGTGCACTCTAAAAAATGCTGGGTTAAATATAACCCAGCGCCGGGTTAAAAAGGGACAACCCCAGCTATTGGGTTGTTTTGACCCAGCGGTTGGGTTCAAAACAACCCAATAGCTGGGTTTGTCCCTTTTTAACCCAGCGCTGGGTTATATTTAACCCAGCATTTTTTAGAGTGTGAAATTATGAAATATGTATTGACAAAAATTCTTGAATAAACTATCTAGGGATGCAGTCTTTTTTCACTGTAAGTTTCTTCTAAATTTATGATGATTAGATCATTTTATGAAGGCTAAATATGTTTACATGCTTCTAATAGACCAACTAGCAAACTAACTGAATAATCATTTAAATTATTCAATGTTTGTCAAGATGTTGAAAATAATATATGTAAAGTGAGATGGATTTCACGACTGTTAAAAGTCATGTAATTAGTTGAAATGATAATAATTGCATCACACAAAATATTTAGTTTGTTGGTGTTTCTTCACTTTTATGTCCATGGGGTTCATTTTTATTAAAGCTAACAAGTTTGCAATGTGAAGCATGATGTGTGAAGAAAACAAAAGAAAAAGCAAGCTACATATAGATATCACTTAGCAGAATATTTTTTATTGAGCATTATTTTTAATCAAGCTTTAATTTTTTTTTAATTACGCAGAAAGTGTGAAAGTATTTTTTACTTGTGTGTAATGTATTTAGGATACATAAAATGTGACCCTGGACCACAAAACCAGTCATAAGGGTCAATTTTTTTTAATTGAGATTTATACATCATCTGAAAGCTGAATAAATAGCTTTCCATTGATGTATGGTTTGTTATGATAGGACAATATTTGGCTGATATACAACTATTTGAATATCTGGAATCTGAGGATGCAAAAAAATCAAAATATTGAGAAAATCACCTTTAAAGTTGTCCAAATGAAGTTCTTAGCAATGCATATTACTAATCAAAAATTAAGTTTTATTATATTTACAGTAGGAAATTTACAAAATATCTTCATGGAACATGATCTTTACTTAATATCCTAATAATTTTTGGCATAAAAGAAAAATCAATAATTTTGACCCATACAATGTATTTTTGGCAATTGCTACAAATATACCCCAGCGACTTAAGACTGGTTTTGTGATCCAGGGTCACAAACACTTTGCTATAAAAGGAGACCAGTGTTATTTTAGTATTAGATATTATTATAGTTTTTATTCATATTTTGAATCAATTTTTATTATGTTTTCAGTTTTAATTTTAGTTTGTTTAATTTTTTAGTAATTTTGTTATGTTTTTGTCTTTTTTATTCTATTTATAACGTTTTTATTAATTTTTATACTTTAGTTTTAGTTATTTTAGTACATCAAGTTAAACTAAATGAAAGTGAAATAACTGAAATGAGCTGAAATAAAAGATTTTCATATTTTATTTCAATATATTTTTTTATAGTTTTAATTTTAGTTTCAGTTTTACTTTTAACTACCCTAGTGAAAAATAAATATACTAAAATGTATTTGATGTACATTTATTTCATGCTAAGTATACTACAGATACATTATGTACTTAATAAAAATACCCTGCAATTGTACTTTTGGTATACTAAACTGGTATACTTAAAGTCTGCTAAATTGAAACTAATGTTGTGCTTAATGCACTTTAATTGTGCTGAAGTCCAACTAAATATATACTGAAGTATATTTGTTTGTGCTAAAGTGGAACTATTGCAAGTACACTTCAGGTACACTTGAAATATCTTGCATTTAAAGACCGATATTATTCAAAGATCATACACTCCTCGTCAATAGTGACATTAAAACACATTTTAGGCTTAATATTAAGAAATGTGCATTGTGCACAAGTAGTATACTCCAAATAAAGTTTAACTATAATTTTTATATCAGTACACTCTAAAAAATGCTGGGTTAAATATAACCCAGCATTTTTTAGAGTGTACTGCATTTTTTAGAGTGTAAGTATCGAGCGATTTGTCAGTAAATATATTAATAGATTTGGACTATACTTGGTATGAAATAAATGTATTTTAAATATATACAGTAGCTTTTTTACTAGGATATAATAACCCTGAATGAGACATATGGCATTTAATTATGCCAATATTGCTGAAAAATATATTAAACACAATACATCTTTTTCTGATATTGTGGAAATGTTCCTAACTTTCAAAAAATGACTGAATTCCCCTCTCTTGAATGTACAGTGATACACTGTTGGACATAAAACACTAAATTGGACACTAAACCAATGACAGTGTGAAAAGTGTTTTAAGAGGGATTATTTTCTTCAAGTCCACAGGGCTGAAAGTGGGAATGCTTGAAGAAACTCCCATTAATGAAGTGTTATTTAAAAACTGGTAAAGCGAAGCCATTTAAGTTTGCCCTGTCTGCTGTACTTTAAATTATTACTGTCGGGCAAGAACGTTTCATTGCTCAAAATTACATATTGTGAGGCAGTTCGAAGTTAAAGTGCTCACAGTGCCTTATAGCACTTTAGCATTTTTCTCAAACATTTATCTACCGAAGTAAAGGCCTTGTGGTAAATACTGAATAAATATGGAGCCAATAAGCCGCATTTAAGCCTCTGACAGGCATTCTGTCAAGATGCGATGTATTCAAGAGCATCTGGACTTCATTATCCATTTGTTGGAGACATTTTGTCACATATTCAAAAAGCTTCATCAGTCATTATGACATTGTGTGGTGTGAAGATGTTTAATCCACTATCAGATAACTGATGAAGCCACTTGGATGAGAGGAGAGGCAAAACATCTTCCACAAATGAATAACCAAGTCCAGATGGTCTAGCAATAATTTTTTCCCCTGATATTCTGCAGTGACTTTGAATGTTCAGTTGTGTCTCTGCCAGGCAAACGTGACTCTGCAAACACAAGCCCTCGCTATTTATCATGTGATCAGTTTCACGGCTGATTAACTTCATGTTGTCAAGTGAGGATTACAGATGTTTGTGTGACTCTGGCTGTTTCAGACAAAGACTGGGATTTATTTGCTTCAAGATGGTAGCGAGGAGCCTTTCAATATCCGCCTGCACCTGGCCAAAGATATTCTCACCATTCAAGAGCAAGACGTCATCTGTGTGTCTGGGGAACCGTTCTACTCGAGTGTGAGTTCAGCAGTTCTCATTATAAGCCAGATTGATCCAGTCCTGGAAAATACAAAGCTATGACGTGAAACAGCTGTTCAGCACATTCTGTTATTGTGGACATGTCAGGGACTGCATCGTCTACTGGAAGAAAGTGTTTAGTCAGTGATAACAGTAAGGTCAAAAATATCATTTACAATGGCTGAATCACCTGACTACAATATAAGTGAGTTTTTAGAGTATGAAGACATAAATAGACACAATTTTTCAATAAAATTTTATTTTATTAAGTAAAGGTCATATCAACATTTACCTTTTTAACATTTTTGGTCTTATAGTGCAAGATGCATTCATGCATATTATTAAAAGTAATAAATAATAATACAGTAATAATAATAATTATAAATATAATAAATATATATATTTTTGTGCAGCTCAGGATATAAATACGTAACCTGAGGCGTTACCTCAAAATATCTTGCCGCAAGAAAAGAACAGCGCTGCCTATTTTGCGACTGAGTCCATTATTCAGCTCTGGAATGTTTCATCACACATGTAGGAATTTGTTTGAATGATTTCATATTTAATCCGGTTAACCTGTGCACCTTTGTTTCAACGTCATTGTAAATGCCAAGTGCGTATTTCACTGGCATTTGCGGCAGAATATTCTGACCATTGTGTTGCATCTATCATTGTCCTTACAGCAGACAGCAGCTTTAGCGCTGGTTTAAACAGACAGATCATGTTGTATTCACTGCCCTTTAATTAAGTTACTGGCATTGTTGGCATGGTGCCGTCCCCCCCCCACCGGGAAATCTACACGAAAAGGAGGCAATTAAAATTGATTAAGGACCTTCTCAGTTTCATGAACCAAATTGAAATGAAAAGTAAACTACCTGTCTTCCTCAACACACAGACCCGGTGTGGCATGAAAGTGACGAGTTTCCTTTGATTCCTTACAGGAGAGAACAGTAACGATCCGTCGGCAGACAATCGGAGGGTTTGGGTTGAGCATCAAGGTGATTGCACAGTTTCTCACAGCTTTCACTCAGCTCTCACATTTCTTGCAAGACTTTGAAAGTCTTTGTGTTATCATTTTTTCATAGGGTGGTGCCGAACACAAGATCCCTGTTGTTATATCTAAAATATCAAAAGAACAGAAGGGTAGGCTGTTTATTTACTCTCTCTCCTCTCCTGCTCAGAAATAAGTTGTTTATTGGTTTATACGTTTGTCTTTTCTTTTGTTTGCAGCTGAACTTTCCGGACTTCTGTTTATTGGAGATGGAATTCTCCAGGTATGCACAGATACATAAATGGGGTCATAAGTACGAGATCATTTCAGTGTTAGGGGCCCTTTAAAACTCCCACGGTGTCGTAATGTAATTCACTCCGTTTCAGCCAGCAGATGTTTAGGGAGCGTCTTTCTTTTGATGGAAATTTGAGTTGTCATTTTGGAGCAGTGTTATTCCAATTATATATTCAATCTGAATTATGTATGTATTTTTCGGAACAATTCATTCATGAATTCTTCGAAATATGCTTGCATTGACTGTCAGCTTTATTTAACATATAGACTTTCCTTAATATGATTTTTTTGTTCTTAATATTATTATAGCTTCAATTCTGATCTGATTCAGATCTTTGGTGGATGTACTTGCAACAAGCAATTTTTAATTATTAAAACATTTATAGATTACTGTTCAAACGTTTATGGTCTGCAATTAAAAAAAAAAAAAAGTTTAGTCAGCAAGGATGCAATAAATTGATCAAAAGTGAAATTTTTAATGTTACAAAAGGTTTCAAATAAATACAGTTCTGTTCAACTTTCTATTCCTGAAAGAATGCTGAAAAACGTATCACCATTTGCACAAAAATATGAAGTGGCGCAACTGTTCTCAACACTGATAATAAGAAATATTAGAATGCATATTTTAGAAACATATCAGAATGATTTCTGAAGGATCATGTGACACTAAAGAAAATTCAGCGTTTAATCATAGGCATAAATTACATTCTAAAATATATTCAAATAGAAAACAGTTCATTTAAATTGTAATAATATTTCATAATGCTATTTTTACTGTATTTTTGATCAAATAAATGCAGCCATCAGAGGCTTCTTTCAGAAACTTGCTGACCCCAACTTTTGAACGGTTGTGTATATCAGGATCTATTCATAACTCCCTCTTATTACTCTTTTACTAATTTGTATTTTTTTTCTAATGTTGTCATTAGATTAACGGCATTAACGTGAGGAGTTATCGTCATGAAGAAGTGGTATGTTTAATCTTTTCTAGATAATATTTCAGTTCAATCAGTGCTGTTTTTACAAAGCAGTTTTTTAACAGAAGTGTGTCAGTAATTTTGACTCATCCTTTAAAAGCTTGACTAATTGCAACAAAACGAGTGACACATCCATTCTAATAACTGAATAAGCAAGCATATTGATTGCTCTCAGGTGCAGGTTCTGCGAAACGCAGGTGAGGAAGTGACTCTGACCGTGTCTTTCCTGAAGAGGACGCCTGCATTTCTGAAGCTGCCACTGTGTGAGGACTGCTCATGTACGTCTGGGATTGGACACTCTATATTCACCGGTTAATATAGAACATAAAGTGTCAAAGTCTTTTAGAGTGAAATTTATAATGAAATAACTTACCCGTTTATTTGATTTCTTTAGGTATACCAAGTGACCAGAGCAGTGGAATATCGTCTCCACTGTGTGACAGCGGCCTACATCTGAACTACCATCCCAACAACATGGTAAACATCACACAACAAAAATCTATCTATCTATCTATCTATCTATCTATCTATCTAT